AGATGCTACAACAGCTAACTGGTATAAACTTCGTCATGTATTACGGAACCACCTTCTTCAGCAATGCCGGGGTCAACAAGCCCTTCCTCACCAACCTAGCCATGATCATCATCAACTGCGTTTGCACAGTGCCTGGTCTCATCGTCATCGAATCATGGGGAAGACGTAAACTCCTCATGGCTGGCGCTCTGGGCATGGGTGTTTCTCAGTTGCTGATAGCAGCTGTGTACTCGGCAACCCAGGACAAAATGGAAAAGTCTCACGGAGGCGCCGCTAACATGGTCCTTGTCGTCTTTTGTGCCCTCAATGTGTTTTTCTACGCAGCGTCCTGGGGGCCTGTTGCCTGGGTCGTGACTTCAGAGATCTTCCCGCTCAAAGTACGCGCCAAGGCCATGTCAGTTTCAACAACAGCGAACTGGCTTTTGAACTTTGGAGTAGCATACGCACCGCCATACATACTCGGCAGAGGCGCAAACGCATTTGGACTTAAGATCTTCTTCATCTGGGGGTCGTGTTGTCTCCTTTCCATTGCTTTTGTATGGTTGATGGTATACGAAACTAGCAAGATGACCCTGGAGCAGATTGACGAGATGTACGAGAGAGTGAGGCATGCCTGGGAGAGTCCGGGATTCAATCCGACGTGGAGTTTTCAACAGATGCAGAATGCGGGATGGGCAGCGAATGAGCAGGCAGAGCAACAGGCTGGCGATGCACATTCGGCATCCAATGTCAACTCGACAGACGACGAGAGTCATGAAACAGCGCCGATAAGGCCGGATAATTCACACGGATCAACGACTCCAATGGTGAATTTGGATTTTAGTTACTAATTAATCTCTGTTTACATTCCTTGCCACCGAATGCAGTCACAATGTGAGACCGCCGTTGGCCAAGCTTTGCCAATGCAATAGTGAACTTAACCGAATTCTTGGATGCTTATAACAATGCAGTATGACCTGAAACTAGGCAGAGGACTTCACATGCCCAACAAGTGCTACAAGTGTTTGGCGAACAATCAGACATGCATGCCAGCTGATGTTTCACAAGAAACCCCCTCGGTAACAATGCCCAGCCTAAAACGGCTGCATAAACCTCCGTCTGGCAGCGGAGCGTTCCTCGGAATAATGGGTCATCCTATTCTGGCAACCATCTGTAACTTTCTAGATGCGTCGGGACCATTACGTATTCCATCGTTTGATTTCTATCAAAATAGAACCATATCGAGCTTTCTAGACCCCACCACGACTGATCAAATCTATCCGGATCTCACACATTCCGACACGTAGCATAGGCTATCTCAAGTCCAACGCCGAGCCCGAAGCGCGAGCTTACCACTTCTGAGACAGTGGCCCCCAGCCGCGTTCCAGTCCAGTCTCTTCCAGAACAATCGTACCGTTGGCCAATCAACATTCCGACGACCGCAATCGTCAGTCACATTCTAATTCGGCAGATGAACGATGTGGCTGAAACCTGAGCGATGATCTTCCGATTCTTGGCATTCCATGATGTTGTGGCTTGGCTATGTCGGGAACCAGAACGGGTATCAGCTCATGGGCTGATTCTAGATGGGGCTTGCCGGGCCGGGCGGTGACATTCTCAACACCATCGTGTAGGGCTGGAGGTTGGGGTCTGGTCCATCGGGAGAGCGGCGTTGTTGCAGCTTTGGACTATTCTAGATGTCGACAGAAGAGACTGAAGATCTTTTAGCTTAAGCATGGCTTACCATTTATGCGAGGGTGATGCAACTCAGGAACATCACCGTACAGCCTTGGAATAGGTGCTTAGACACAGGACGTGAATTGACTTGGTGAGTTGACATTTCTCACGATAGGGTATACCTCGCGCCGCTATCTAAGCCTCTAAGCTTGAACATCAATACAAACTCGTAACCATAACGAACCATTCATTCTCCATAGCATACATGTGACAGATTACCCAAGAACGAAATACCATCTAAGATACCCAAAAAGAACTCCATAGCATTATCTTCCTTTTGTCTTCAATCCCGTCATTGACGCCGAACTCCTAATAGAACTTGCGGGTGTATTCGAGAACACGGGGCGAAATTCTTCTAGTTTCTGCCGACGATCAAACTCCTTAAGAAACGTGTACACACTACCGAGAGGCATGTACTCAAGCAAAGGTCGCAATTCGCTGGGAAACATCTCGGCGCCGTGATCTTTAATATCCTCATTGACGCGATTGAGGCGAAGAATCTGCATCCAAGACACAATGCCATCGCCAACCATGAACGTCGGAAACTGCGCCTGTGCAATGTCGTCTAGAATCCACGTATTCCGAAAATAAGGCCTGTTCAGAAAGCCAGATATGGCTTTGTAGCTGGGTACTTCCGTCGGGTCCGTGATCCCCTCAGGAATGTCACTGAGATGAGCCACGGGCCCCATCCACTGCAGAATCGGCGCGTAGTTGGCCGGGTTCGCCTCACGATCACCTGGCTCTCCGAAATTCGTCGGCATGCACTTATCCCACGCCCTGATAATCTCAATCGCAAGGTCAGACGTCGCATCCTTGGGTCCCAGCCATCCAACGACCAGCTTCGCCTCGCGGTACGCACGAGCCATATGCGCACGTCGCTCAGCCTCTTCTTTCTTGTCGCGCCGGTTAATGCATAATAGATCGATCCAGATTCGTAGCGGAGGCTTGTCGCATCTCGTAGCCCCCGGGTCGACGAGTTTGCGGAGGAATGAGCGTAGCCATCCGGGGGGTTTCTTCGTCGGCGATGGTGGCGGGGAGGGTTGTTGTTGCTGTTGGTGATTACTGATTGTCTTTTCTGTCTCAAGATCGACCCTGGAGGAGGAGGCGTTGTTGATGACGGATTGGGCTCGGGGTCCTAGGAAGACTTCGCGCGTGTAGCGGATCGCTTCGGCGAGGTCGGACGGTATAGCTACTCTTTGGCCATTGAGTTGAATGGGCTCGGTTTTTGTGATGTCGCCGTAAAGAGCGGAAAGACCAATGAAATCAGGCGCATCGCATAGTTTCTCGTGGACAAGACGACATACGATCCGGTCGTTGATGTCGTTATTCGGCGAAGGCTGTAGCTCCAGTATCCTCACCTCACGCGCCGCTAGATCTAGCGGCCGGTAGTGAATCGAGGACAGCCCGTCCGACGGCGGTGCCATTAGTCACTGCTGTCTTAGCAATCGAATGTGTGTGGGCTCGTATGTATGTTGGTTGGAGCCTTGTCTCTCTCATGCAGGATGTCATGCAAGGAAGGGGGGGCAGTGTCAAGAATCAGGATGATATGATGAATGGCTCAAAGGGTTGCAGTCAAGAAGGGAGGGGCCAGAAAGTGGGAGAAACAAGGTACTTGTTTTAATCGACATTTGCCAACTGGTTTGTGCGTTCCCTCAGCACAAGTGGGCGAGAAAAAACCTGCCAAGACCCTGGAATGTGACCCAACGAGAGGATAATGTTCCCACTCTGTCACTGCCGGGTTTGGACATGTCAGGAATGGGGAAGATCACGGCAAGGATTTACACGAGCTAACAGCCTAAAAGGCAATCCACTGCCGTCGTCGCAGCTGATAACATGACCTGAACCCAGCTCGTGATTAGTATTCAACCGTCCCAAGCCCATCCCGCACGCCACTGATCTCGATCTTTCTAGTCTAGCCACATAGACTTTAGAGCCAGGCCTGATGCAGAGGAGTAAGATGCTTGTCAGTAACTCTAAGATGAAAAACGCTCACTCGTGGCATTTGACATTTGCGGAGGAGGAGATTTGTGCTTGGAGGCCCGGCCCGGTCTCAATTCTTGGTCAGGACGTGGGAAATGCTAATTTAGCGCTGGTGATAATGATTGTCCCTTGTCTAGTCTCATTTTAGCGTGGGTGCTCTGTAGCTGAACGCGGAATACCAATCTGATGTCATGATGGTGTATTGCTCGTGACGAGGACTTGGCGGCATTACGCCTGAAACAACGCCTTCGATTTATTACATTTCTGAGAATTATTCTAGAAGTACGAAAATGGTTTCCAGAGCTTCTAGAATTTGCCACCTTTTGCTTATTTCCTACATCAGCATCTATGGACTCGTCCTCCATTAAAATACGTGCTGTGTCTCACCGCCCTCCTCAAGACGTAACCAGAACTGTCACCCTTCCTATCTCGGCAAGCGTTCTCTTTCTCCGATGCGCGTACAATGTGACGAACCCGCATTCTTTGGTAACGCGAGTGGAGCTGGGTCTGTTCACGTGTAGACAGGAGAATGGCTTGTTGCTTGACAGCGTGGATCTGCTAACTACCGAGTTATGCCACGTTTGGTGCTAGCGCCGGGAATCGATCACGCAAAGATTCCGCCGCACGGCTTATTTCCTATGGGATTTTAGCATAGGTGCACTTAAATCTGCATGTTGGTTGCAACATTACGATGCAACGTGGACGAGCTGTCAAAACACCTGATATGATGCTGCATCTCGCCATCGCGATACAAACCTGGCGACTTCGCCTTTGCTGTTGAGCGAGTTGTCTCAGGGACTTGAATACTTCTAGATTACCGGTTTGCCCGCCAGGGCTGCTCACTGAGACATTTAACAAACCTGCATCAAAAACCCTTGGCCGAACTCCCTCGGTGTTGGGCCGTTGGCTGCGTAACCCACCACACCGTCGTGATGATCTGCAAAACAGACTTCTTGATCCAAGACATGTCCCCGGTAATCAAGAAGGGGCTAAGTGGATCGTCACCACCAGTTCAATTTGTGCATCCCTGTTTTTTGGATCTAGACCCTAGTTGATATGCCTCACCAACAACCAGAAAGAATTGCAGAACCAACAGACATACTGCCAGACAAATCGGCAATTCTTTCAGTCATGTACAGATATTCCTCGATAATGCTATCTGCGCTTTTTAATCCGCAGGCTCCCTGTGATGAAAATGAAGTTATAAAAGAAGCTCGTGAACCGCCCTAGTAGGGATCCATCAACGCTCAGACTCTCTTACCCTCGTAAACTATCAACTCACTAATCTCCCCTTGTCGATCGAAATGTCTTTCCCCTTGTGTCTACCCTGGCCTCAAAAAGCCTACTGGAGCGAGTTTGACCTCAGCGGGCTCAAGATAAAACCTAGAGACCGTGCCCTACACGATTCAAGTTCCACCGCCGATATTCCCCCGTACTTCTGGGGCAAGGGTCTCCGGGGCCGTGGGCTCGGGAGATTCCTTACCCGAAGAACAGCCAAGCCCAAGCAAACTGGGTACACTGAAGCTAGAAGTCTGATCGGACGCGGTACTGTTGATGATCTTCAGAGACTGTCGTATCATGCAAGCACTTTCGTTATCGAAGTATTTGAAGATATCGAAGATGCTTCGGGTGCTTCGTCAACTGAATCCTTGTCGTCGCCTGGTTCAGGGCCTAGAGTAACTCAGCTGAGACTCTCCCCTGAGCTAGAGGCATGGAAATCCTCCCAGCATGCGATCGGCAATGTCTTACCGCCCAAGGGCGCTGGGTTGAGCCCTGTTTCCCAAGAGATCCTTCACGTCCTTGGCGCAGAGGATTGGCCTGAAGCTCTCAAGACGACGAACGCCCTGTTTGGATGCGGTATCGCTAGTCTTCTCATGGGCGCTGCTGATTCAAGTACCATGTTCTCCAACTATGTCACCGACATGGCTTTCTATTACGAACACGGATACAACTATGTCTTCCCCAACCTTGAGCCGCTGTTGGAGAAGGGTATAAATGATCCTCATGCGCTACGAACCCCTGGCGGTCGGGAGCGTCGCGATGCGGTGGCTATCGGCAAGCGATACATCCAGGGCAAGATCGCCCTTGAGAAGAAGCACAAGGGTCATCTGTTGAACCGATCTGCGCGACTTGATCGACGAACTGCTCAGATCGTTTCGCTGTCTGAGAGTAGTCTTCTTGGCATGGCGGCTGAGGCTACAGCACGAGGCTTTGACCCTGGCGCTGTCATGGCCGATCTTGTCTTTAGTTCACCAGGCACCGATGTCGTTGACGTCGGATGCGACCTTGTTAATTCCGAGGTCATGAACTCGTTCCTGAATGTCACTGATATCACGGACACTGGCATTGTTAGCGAGGATGTTTTGAGAAGGGTTTATGATGCCTATGCTGTGATGGGCGCAAGGATGCTCACTCAGCGATGGCATGAGCCTGTTGCGAGGATGTGTGCTGCGCTGTATACATGGCATATCCAGAACGATCGTCACATGTTCTTCCGTCGAGCTTTGCTGGGATGGTCGAAGGCGAGGAAGACACCTGCTCAGCCACAGAGTGAGGGTGACTTTGATGAGGTTTTCGACAAGCAATTCCGTCTGACTGGATTCTCCCGACCTCTCGTTGCCAAGTACGCATGCAACGGTGAAGAGACCTGCAACCACGTCCACGACCATCTTGCACGCCATGAAGAAGAGCCTCTCCTCAAAGAACTCTGGTGGTATCTCGTCACAGGCCCTCTGGAGTACGTGCGGGGTGGCAAGGTCGACGAGGCTCGCGAATTGGAGTTAGCCGAAGGGTCGAGGTTACGAATGGCCAAGCTTTTCGCTAAGGGTCGGGTATTGGAGATGGTTTGGTTAATTGCCCATGCGAACCATCACGCTTGGCAGGTCAACTATTTGTTCGAGGCTGCCATGTTTGGTAGTATTCTTGATGGTGGGAAATTGATTGGAAAGCTGGATAGAAAGGATCAATGATTATGGGTCATGATACGATGATGATTGGATGATTTACGGTCTACGTTGTGTTTCTTAGAGTTGTTTAAGTTATGATATCTCTTATGCTTAGAATAGATTACGAATTGATCTTCTACGTTATGTCACTGAGCTCTCACTGGTAACTGTCTTTGTGATTATCCATCTCTTTGATGGTCAAGTTCTATGAAGATAAACAAGTCGCTATGCAATGATACAACGGCTCCAGAAATGAACCAACGATTGATGCCGAGCGCAAGACCTTTGTCCACATCTCATAAACGTCATCTGCCATCTGCCGCGTGTCAACATGTCATGCCGAACCTAGCCAACGGCTAAAAATGGGCTGACAGAATTTCCGGGTCTAAACGGACCTTCTGTTTCCCCCATCTAACAACGCATCGCCCAGTGTTACATCACCTGAACACTAAGCCGCTGCAACCTTCGAAATGTCACTGTCACTCCCCTTGCTAGTCGGGTATGCAGTCGCATCGGTGCTCGGACGCCACGTCTCAGCGTCACCCAAACGATCAGACGTAAGCCCGCTACTTCCGGGGTTCTTGAAACCACGTTCCTGTTGTCGTTGAAAAGAGATCTTCCGAAGACGCTCGGTCTCTGCGGGCGTTAAATGGAGCTGCGAATTCTTGTTAGATCATTATTGGGAAAAGCTCGAAGAGATACTTACATAGACTTCGATGCCGATGGCGTGGATGGCTAGTGCTAGCCAGATCGCCATGGAGAAACCTAGCGATAGAGCGGATGCAATGTTCTCGGCACTCTCTCCTGCCATGTCACCTTGTACTGCAACCCAGGCATTAGGGTCGTCGCAGGTAGGATATTTGGCGATCAGAGAGTTGGTGTCGTCGTAGAAAGAAGCGACCTTGGCGCATTGCATTGGGAGTCGGTAGCTCGGGTTCTTGGACATGACCACGGCAGAGATGATCATAATTATTCGCAGAGTGATAATTGAACCAGCCTGGTCTCGTTAGTTCCGATGGCCACAATGAAATTCGCGCCAGACTTACGTAGAACCATGCGCGAAGCATCCAGGCACGGTGTTGCTCAAGCTGCAATGTCTTGATATTCCATATCGCCAGGAAGAGTGACACGAGGAACATGATCGCCAAAAGTCCTACGCCAGCTCTCACAGACAGCGAGCCACCAAAAGCGACGGGTGCAACGATGATGGCGCCGACTGTCCCGATGACCGCCAGAACAACAACGATGTATCCATTCATACGATGAAAAAGAAGCGCTTTGTATCGAATGAATGGCACAAATTGAAAGACAACAAGGAATGAAGCCGGGATGATGGTGTATAGATGCATTTTGATGCCGATCTTGTAAAGGTCCTTTCTGTTGTAAGACCAGCATTCGCCTGGGCCTGCACCGTTACCCTTGCTGTTGGGATTGCAGTAAATGTTGTTGTAGTTGAGGAACATCATCCGAGCGAGGGCAAAGCCGAACATGGCGCCGGCGAAGATGAACCAGAGAATGAAGTTGTAGCCTTTGGAGAAGCCGACTGGGTTGTAGACCTTGCGGGCTTTAGCGACGAAGGTGTTGGCTGGGGGGCGTGTTGGAGCTGCCATTGTATTGAATACGAGTCGGATTTGTTGATGGAAGTCCAGTTTATTGCGACCACTGATAGAATGAAGACATATTTTCGTTGAGAAATTGATCATGTTATATGTATTTACGGCTTCACGATATACGGCCAGCCCTACCTGTCGGCAGTTAACATCATAGCTGTCATTCCCAATCCTCTGGCGCATATTGAGTCTAAAAGTGGATAGAGCAACGGCAATCCCTCAAATTGACTTTACATAGCTCGCAAAGGAACCAATCAAAGCCAATCTAAAACCCTCGGATACGTAAATTGCATCGTGGTGTCTTGTGCGCTAAACCACATCGAGAGTCAATCTGCGCGGGACAAGTCAATGCCGTCATCAGCCACGTCGTGATACCGCTGAGCTGACCAAGCGAAACGACATGAACTAAGCGAAGGATTCAATTTCGAAGCTGAGTCCTGCGACTTTTCGGTTTCCAGTTTCATCTGATACTGCTCTCTCATCTCTGTCCTGTGGACGTCAGAACGTAATCTCTGAGCTGACGGCAGTTCATAGCCAAAAATGGTTGGTGTACCCGGTAGGTCCAAGGGATGCGTCACTTGTCGGAAGCGCAAGAAGGGTGTAAGTCTATCGGTCTGTCCAACGGTCGCTGCTAAAGATTAGTCAGTGTGATAAAAAAGTCCCTTTCTGCGGCCAGTGTCTCGCCCTAGGTATCCCATGTGAAGGATATGAACGTCAACAAATATGGCTCAATAGCGAAGGGTCCACGCAAAAGTCATACACTAAATCTCCGTCACGAAGTCCACCCTCTTCACCAAGCTCAATTCCAGGATCAGCAGTAATACTTCACGACTCACTCACAAGGACAGCTCGGACCCAAAAGTTCACTGGTCTTTTCTGGTCAGACTATCTCTCTGGTGGAAGTGGCTTCTCGCTTAAAGCATCCGGGATAACCGGTGCGAAATGGATGGCGATGTACGAGGCGTTGAGCGACGTTGAAGCTAGTCTTCAATATGTTGCTATGGCGCTCAGCACAGCAACGCTTGGCGCGATGAATAATGATATCCAGCTCATGGGAAAGAGCCAACAGGCGTATGGGCTGGCAATGCAACAAATGGCCACCTCATTTGTATCTCCGTCACGGAACAAGGATGGCATTCTCGCTGCTATCCAGCTCATGCGAGTATATGAGGTCAGGCAGCTCGTTACCCTTTTCAGCAAGGATACTAATTCGCTCATAGCAATTATTCGGAACTGGCATTTCGGCAGCACAAAAGAACTCGCCTGTATCACAGATCAAAGGTTTTAGAAAGCATATTGATGGTGAGACTGCTCTGATATTGAGTCGCGGGCCCGAGGATTCTTGGTCGTCCATGGGAAAACAGCTTCTTGCAGATGGACGTCTAACGATGGTAAGCTTCCCAGTTCCTTAAACGATTTAGCATGAGGCTTATAAATGAAGATTAACGCGTACATCTCACGGCGCAAACGATCACCATACGGCCAGGGCTGGAAACAATCACAACTCTGGCGCTCAGTAACAAATTCCCCGCTCAACCAACTTATTGATATATTCGTTGAAGTACCAGCGCTTCTACAAGACCTAGACACCTTTCGAGTCGCTCCAAGCAACCAACTTTATAATTCGATCATTACTCGTTGTCGCACCTGTGAGGTTGAGATATTGGCGCTGGGGCTGGAATTTGGCGAGTCACTCACTGCATACGACTACACATATACCAGGGAGCCCTTGCCAGTACCGAAGAACGACGATGATCTTGCCACCGTTTATCTGAGCTGCTGCTACTGGATGACTTGCCTCTTCATATACTCGACAATGGGCTTTTGCGAACTTGAGTCAGCGGATTCATATGCAAGAGAACCCATACTAAACTACCCGAGCCAGCGAATTGCGATGTCGTATGCTTACAGAATCGCACACGCCATACACCTGCTTTTTGAATTGCCAGCCGGAACCTTTAGCTCAGTGGCCGCATTCTTTCCTCTTGGGACTGCTTTACGATATCTGATCATGATAGAGACTCATGGCGGCCATAACATCATGAGCAAAGAGAGGTTGTCATTGGTTAACGTATTTACTCGACCATTTCTGGGGAGCTTTGTTGGGAGGTTTCTGCAAAATCTGCAGGTGGATGACGGTATTGACTATGGATATCCCGCAGACACGCTCTTAGGGATAAGAGGTATTGAGTATAGAGCCAGAGTCTGGTGGTGTGGACTGATGCAGGCTGGACTGCCGGAGTTTACACTGGAAGATCCTTGCTTTCCGTCAAAATGACAATTTGTGTTATGTATGTTATCATCCTCAAACTATATACAAAAGAGCCTCCCAGCCAGCATGGCAAACGAATGTATTGATCCAGCATCATTCAGCCATAACTAGTGCTTGATCGCTTAGCAAATGTTCTTCTGGGCGTTGCCAGTAATTCCCCAGTAAATGTTCTCAGCACAAGGCGACTCCCGAACGGTGTTGCTGTTGACCTGTGCCTTGACGTAAATGCCACTGTTGTTGGGGAACTCGCTTCGTGCTGCAACGCGGACTTCACCCCCTCCGTTGACGACACCATCTCGAATAGCAAAGTTATAACAGTTCTCGATAAGGATAGCGTTGTTTCCATTGTCCGCGAGATCAATGGTCTTGATCTCAGCGGCGCCGGACATGGAAACGCAGAAAATACCGCGTCCTCCGCCTCGCGAATAGACTTTATCGATAAAGACGTTGGTGGTGGTGTATTGACCATTGGCGAGTTGGCCATTGTTGTTGGCGAAGCGAAGGGTAGCGTACCCTGTGCCAGCTCCGGCATTGATACCCTCGACATAACCGACCTTGACGTTTCGAGACTCCTGGATGAGTAAACCGCATTCACCGACATCCTTGGCCTTGACGGACGTGATGGTCAGACCGTCAATCTTGAAAGTCTCAACAGCGTGGCTTCCAGCACCGGTAACCACGATATTGCCCATGGAAACACCATAATTCCAGTTCGCATCGCGATCAAAACGGATACCAATTCCACCACTAAGATTCAACGTAATATCGCCCAGCGCCAAATTCCTCGTCCCCGAGAATCTCAACCCAAAGTACGGATTGCCCGTCATCTTAAGGTACGGAATCTTGACATCGTTCTGGTTAATAGCCTCAATAGCACCACGACCAGACTTGTTGCCGACGTTCAAGGTACCGCAGACCTCGAACGTCTTTCCGCTGGTGATGCTGATGGTGTTGGCGCCGATGCTGCCGGATGCGCGGACCGTGACACGCTGTCCGCTGCTGATGCGGTCGAGGGCCGTTTGGATGGCGAGACGGTAGTCGGTGCCGGAGTAGACGTTTGCGCCGTTGACGGTGGCGGTGAAGGTGCCGGAGCCGGAGACTACGCCTTGCGGGGAGCCATCGCCGCAGGCTGCGTTGGCGGCGCTGATGAGGGCGAGACCGGCGGTCAGAACGGAAGACAGATGCAGCATCTTGAGAGATCCTTTAGCTTGGAAGCTTTGTTTGAGCTTCAGAACTGATTCATTCCTTCTTTATATACTTGAGGCAAAGACATAGTGGTGATCATCCATTCGTGCGCTTTTCATCCACGATGATCCCCCAAACCCGGGGATGATACCTACATTCGACAAGCAGCACAAGGATGCACGTCTTGGCGCAGAGGGGTACGTGATGTTCCATGTCGATAGCGAGATGCCATTTCGGGTCACGCGGAAGTTTAACCTCCGCAGGGGACGCTGCGATGCATATTCTGGGGTATTCTCCCACCTATCACACCGGAGGAATATGAAACTTACCGGGAATAAAGCACATTAGCCTGGGGCTCGGCACTTGTTGTCGAGAAGTCTGTCGGAGGGCCGATTTTTAAGCTTGAATTGGCTTCCTGAATTGGTTAGTTGTTGGGGATTAAGCTTGTATGTCGCTGTTAACTAACCCGAAGAACCGAATCGTAAATACACAATGATCGTGTCTTGGTATTAGATGTTTGTCACCTTTTCCCGTTGTATCTAACCTGGTGTTGGATTGATCACGAGAGCTCTATTACTGTTGCTCGCTGCCTACCAACGGTAATCGTCGGTAAATATTGTTAGGCGACATTATGAGTTACGTTTAGTTAGGTGCGCTTTCCAAATTGCATGCCCTCCTAAATATGCATATAGTGGTGGCATAATCCTGGGATATATGAATATTCACGGTCATCCGTGCGGCTGAGCAAGAAATCAGGGGTGCGTTTTGTAATTTCAGCTCTTCCCCTCATCTTTGCTGCCTGTCATATGATCACTATTTCACGTTTTGTTGCCTTGAAGCGAAGATACCTAGCTGTAGTGCTTCTAAACCGCCGTAGGAATGGCTTCATTCGAGACTTCGCAGTCTTGGCTGCCTAATCGACAACGCGCTGATAGCGGGGATGACGTACAGTCCTTGCAGTACGATGATTACACAGTCGGGTGGATCTCCGCTCTTCCGCTTGAGATGACAGCTGCTCAAGCTATGCTAGATCATGGACATGAGCCACTTCGCCAGCATCCACAAGACAGCAACTGTTACGAATTCGGAACCATCAATGGTCATCATGTGGTTATCGCTTGTCTACCCAAAGCACAGTACGGCAACAACAACGCTGCCATTGTTGCGAATAATATGCATAGGACTTTTCCTCACCTCCAACATCGTCTGTTGGTCGGTATCGCGGGTGGGGCACCCGGAGTAGTTGACGTACGCCTCGGAGATGTCGTGGTCAGCACGGATGCCATACAATATGATCTGGGGAAAGCCTTGCCCGACAATCACTTTCAGCGAATTGCGAAAGCCATCAGTCCTCCCCAGGCATTACTGACAGTCGTTTCAAAGCTTGAGGCCAGCCATATAGGAGGACAAAGTCGAATGCCCGAGATTCTGGCCGAGAATGTGGCTCGCCTCCCTCATTACTCCCATCCAATGGTTGAAGATCGTCTCTTCCACCATGAGTGCCCTCATAATTCCTCAGATTCGAACTGTGATAGCTGTAACATATCACAGCTTATAATCAGGAGGGCTCGCCAACAACCCAACCCCGTCATCCACTACGGCCGTATTGCGTCAGGGAACCAAGTCATTAAGGATGCACTTACTCGAGACAAAATATCCAAAGAGACTAATAGCATTTGCTTTGAGATGGAGGCAGCAGGCGTAATGGATGCATTTCCTTGTCTTGTGATCCGCGGTATATGCGACTACTCGGATTCTCACAAAAATAAGGGATGGCAGGAATACGCAGCTTTGATAGCCGCAGCGTATGCTAAAGAACTTCTGATGTCGATGCCTCCTGCACTATTGCAGTCACGGAAGCGAGTGAGGGTACAGAAACACAAAGTCTCAGAGCCTATCAGTCCTGACGCATATGAATGCCTGCAGGCAATGTTTGTCACAGATTCTTCCCTGGATCGCGAGGGCATTATTGATGCAAAAGGCGATATCTGTGAGGGAACATGTGAGTGGATCTTATCCACCGAGGAATTCCAGGCTTGGGACCAGAATCCCCCTCACCTGCTATGGATATCCGCTCCACCAGGCATGGGCAAGACGTTCATGGCTATTTTTCTTTCTAAACACCTTGAGGCTCTTTCTGAAAACTTGTCTGGTGTCGCCACGATTTTCTTCTTCTGCGACAACAAGGTCGATACAAGAAATACGGCAGTGAGCATTCTTAGAGGCCTCATGTATCAACTAATCTCACGACAACCACACCTCGTCAATGAAATTATACCGCAGTGGAAACAAAAACTTCGGGGCATCTTCCAAGAGAGCTCATTTGGTGCCTTGTGGAAACTTTTCGAAGAGATGATCACCGAATCAAACTTCAGGACGATCTACTGCATCGTCGATGGCCTGGATGAATGCGAACCCAATTCCCTATCTCTTCTGCTCCGAAAGCTCGAGAGACTTAGTCGAGGCAGCCTAGGCTCATCCATCAAAATGAAGCTCATATGCCTCAGCAGGAAATACCCGGAAAACATCCCTGAGGCTCTTTTGTTATTCACAAAGATGGAACTTGATACGATGACAGCCAGAAAAGTCGACATCAGCTGCTTCATCTCGTCCCAAGTCCAAGAACTCGTTCAGAAGAAAAGTCTCAGTGGGAAAATGCGATCTCATTTGGAAAAAACCTTCCATAAAAAATCTGAGGAGACATTCCTATGGATCAGTTTCATGTCTCAGGACTTGCAGCAACAGAGATCCCTTGATTTTGAAGCCTGTCTCGATTCGCTCCCGACTGGATTGGATGCAGTTTATGAGAGGATTCTGGAGAATGTCGACTTCAGAAAACTTGAAACGATTCGCAGCATCCTTTATTGGATTCTTGTCGCCAAACGCCCTTTTACAATATCTGAGCTATGTGAGGCAGCGGATATAAAATCTACAGGCTTCTTGACACACGAAGAAGTCTGCATTGAGCTAATCAAGTCTTGTGGCCATCTGCTTCAAATAGTAGATAAATACATGAGAACGTCTGTTCAACGGACAGTAACGTTTTTGCATCAAAGCGCAAAGGATTACCTGATGAAGTTCGACCCCCGGTTTGGCTCACAGATACGAGGACTCGCACAGCCTCAGCTCCACGAACACGCTACAATTACTTTGATCCAGTATCTCGAAAAGATCAATTCTCAATACGGAAGTAAAGAAGGAGCCTTCTATAATATAGCAAAAGATTTCCCATTGGTATATTATGCTGTCGAGGAATGGAGCTTTCACTTTAGGGAATTAGAGGATATTTCTCAGGTTATGCGGCCAGGCGTCAGTTTCTTTGAAAAGGATTCAAAGGCCAGACACATGTGGCAAAATCTTGATGATCTCCCCGAAGTGCATTATGACTTTGAGCCCGTACCGTTACTTCATTTATCTGTCTTGTTAGACCTGGATAGTTTGGCAGAGTGGTGTCTGGGAAATGATGGAGAACACGATGTGGAAACCAAGTGGGGTATTAGGGAACGCACAGCTCTTGTCCTTGCTTGCGAACAGCGTCAAGAGCATATTGTTTCGTTGCTCCTTGACGCAGGCGCCATTCCCCTTGCCGACATATATTCCGAAAGTGCTCTTGACATGGCTTTATCGTTCTGCAACAGACGGATCTTGCACCTTATGGCACAAACAGAACCTTGCAGGGAGTTCTTAATTGCAAATGCAGCTAACCAAGATGGCGCCCTGATCTATGTAGCTGCCAAGGACGGAAATGAGGATGCATGCCGCTTTTTAGTTGAGGACTTTGGCTGGGATCTAAAGTGGCAAAGCGGAAGTGTTGGTCACAAAGCCCTAGCATGTGCCCTATCGAGTGGAAATCTCAAACTCATAAGCTGCTTTATCAGAGAGTGGCATGTTCCTATTAGGAATCACTCTGGTGTCCTGAAAGAGATGTGTACCTCTATGGTCTTTCAGATCAAATTCGAACAGGCCATACGGTTCCTGGTGGATGATTGCTCTATTGATATCAATATCACAGACGCAGAAGGCCATAATGCCTTATTCTTCATATTCCAAGACAAGTACAGGACATTCTCACCTATTTTCATGATCAGAACACTATTAGAATTTGGCTGCAGTCCTGGCCAGCTCGACCGCTTTGGCCGAGCCCCAATGCACTATCTTGTTATGGCTGGCACAGAAAATGATTTAGCAGACTTCTCGAACATCATGGACGTTCTAGTCGATATGAGCCAATATGATGTCAACCAAGTGTGCTTAAAAGGGCAGACAATACTGCATTATCTCATTGAGCGGTTAGTAAATCTGCAACCTGATCAGTGCGTTGGTGTCAGTTTTCTGGAATTTTTGAGTATGGCGCCAGGAATAGCAAAAGCAATACTGAACTTGGGTGTTGATCGGCATATCCAAAACAGCAAAGGATTTACAAGCCTGCAAGTGATGCGGGCTGCACTCGGCCAATGCGAAAGGAAGATTACAAGGCGACTGAGAGAATACATGGAAGCCGTGAATAATGTTACGATAGTACTCGGAAGCTACTGTACCGTTCCTAAACACTAGGACAACACTCGAATCTGGAGCGGGCACGGCGCTTGTACAGAGGGTTCACTCTCATAACATTATCAAGTCTTACCTCAAAAGATGCTAGCTTCCCATACATCAATACCATTGAGGCATTCATTCTTGGATAATCCCAAATTAAAGACTATATACCAACTTCTCAGCACTTATCGGGCGCATGTAACCTTCTGGTCTCTCAATCTCTGACCTCTCACTCACTAAACCAGTCCCCAGAAGAGAGAAGCCGTCCTGGACTACCCTTTCAAGGCCTCCAGACATTATTCTCACCGGATTTGACTCGAGCTGTGCTCTACCTGACGGATGTGGCTCACTCAAGAAGTCATAAAACTCCTTTGCAAACGCGTGCGCATTTGGATTTGCTGGTATAACAGCGTCTAGTTCCAGATAGTTAGTATGTAGCTGGGTTCATGGGGTCTTTGAAGGAGAATGCTGATTCACTTACTATTATATCCAACTTCAACGCCAAGACCTTCCCAAACAGCACCATAGGCAGGTTTGACAGTTAGTAGTGCTGGATCATATCGCCCTCCAACTGGGCCGCGAATGACTGCAAATTTTGCCGAAGGAGCCAAAGTCTCGTGGGTTTTATACACTGTCTGACCTTCCGAGATACAGTCTAGCGCAAGATCGACGCCGTCCCCGTTTGTCGCATCCTTCACCTTCTGAACCCAGTCTTCATCTCTATAGTCCACAAGTACGTCATAGCTGTAGGGCTTATTCCGAAGCAAATCACGATTAGACGAACTGGCTGCCCCTATCAGTTGGATAGATATTCCAGATACCCTGGCAGCGATGCGAGCAAGCTGTGCGGCATACAGTCCTACTGAAGTCGATGATCCATAAATGAAGAGGTTGGTGATTTTCGTATCGCCTCCGGACGTGGCTTGCGGCGCCAAAGAAAATGGGGATGGTAAGCCAAGCCGACCGAATAGAGCCTGAGCAGCAGTCAAGCCACACATGCTGATCGTCGAAACTTCTTCGAAGGTCAGATTATCGGGGATCTTCCATACGAGATCATAAGGGACGACTATAAATTCTGCAAAGGCTCCAGGGCGATCATTCACAGATGACGCTGCAATTATCAGTCTTAGTCAAATAGCCAGTGACGAAATACATACCGCCCTGGAGGAAACCAGCCACCCGTGTCCCGATTTTGACTCTTGGATCAGGTAAATCACCAATCGCAGATCCAGCTTCAACAACGACGCCAGCAAAGTCAGTGCCGACAATTCTCTTCTCCTGAGCTGCAATCGGTGACGAAACGTATAGTTCATCTACTGGGTTTAGCGCTATTGCGCTCACGTTGATAAGAATATCGTGGGAACCGGGACTTGGGCGATCGACATCTTCCACGATTGCCTTTTTCAGGGCTGTATTTAGAACAAGGGCTTTCATTATAGCTATTGAGATTGGTATTGTCTTATTGAACAAGTATCTAGAGAACTATGCGGCTGTTATATACTGATGCTAGCTCAGAGCCCGGATTTGTCAGCTACCAGCTGATTATAAATGTGTTTTTGCATTACGAATATTAGGCCTCCTTAAGGTTCGGATAAATATTTGTCCCACTATCAAGTCTCAAAGATTACTTCACACCCGATACAATAATTACGCTCTATATGTGTCTGCGGCTGAGCCTGGCTTTAATGATGACTGTTATAGGCCACAATATACATAATAAGATCTTTAAAAGTGTACTATGTATGTCGATAAGGTTGGTATAAAGAGGATTAAACGCCAAAACCAGGGCTCCAAAATGACAAAAGTATCATGAGTATAGCTTCATAATTGGCCGAAATTGGTATAAAGGAAGTTATCGTACTTAATCGGGAGGTTGGGAAGTGGTTGGGGATGATCAGACTTTTGGCACTGTACTGTAATCCCCTCTCACCCCGCTTCCCACAATCTCTTTCTTACAGCTCTATCATATTAAAATCACCTTCCAGCATATCGCTTATAAGCTCCAAAATGGCCGGTCTGGCCTCCCTCCCAAGAGATGTTCTCGTTGAAATCTTGTCCTACTTTTGTCTACATTGTCGAGGCGATCTAAGACCTCTCAAGGGTGTCGGAACCCTGCGCCAGCAAAAGCGGTGCCAGGAACCTCAGCAGCCCGACCAAAAGTCGTGGTACTCGATCGATAAATATACCTTGTTCTCTATTGCGGTCTCTTGCAAATCACTACATGCTGTGGCAGAGGATATTCTGTACCATGACTTTGCACCTGGCTATGGAGACTCCGAGCTGTCCAAGTTTTATACCTATGGCAACAGACTGAACCAATTCATGCGCACCGTCGGAAGACGCAAAGACCTCGCTGACAGGGTTCGGCTCCTCTTCGTTCATCCAAAACACTCCAATGGGTCCGTAAAACGAATCGTCCTGGCTTTGAGGCAAGGTGCCGCTGATCTTGGCATCGACATTGCCGAAGCTTGGCGGCACCGGGCAGAGTGCTTTACGAATTCTTGGGCGCTTGAGCAGATCCAGATGTTGGGACGACAGGAAGAGTATCCATTCATGCTCAATTCAGCCTTCACTGATGAAATCGAGGAGTATCCACTTCTAAGCAGCAGCCGTCAGTATTATCTTGAGAGGGATATGGTTCCGAAAAATTACTCAATGACGGCGAATAAACTGTACAGAGCTTTGCACCATGAGCTCATACCAATGCTGATTGCACTGCTCCCCAAGCTGAGTCACATCATTTACAAATACAATTCGGCGTTTCACATGTTTGGACACGCCGCTCTTGACGCTCTAGGAGTGACAGAGCTCCCGTATCTTCGGACATTGGAGGTAGATAAGGATCTATTTTCCATTCTCAAACGGGCACCGAACTTGGACCAGCTTGACATTACCGAATCTCCCTTTCCAGAGAGGGATGAAGGTTCAGGCGGCGGCCAGTCCAAGATCAGAACCCTGCGGTTGGAAGATACATCATCACCCTCAGAACTCAGCAAAGGACTATCTTTCGCCGCCAAAGACCTTCGCTCGCTCATTGTTGAGTCTAGTGGAGCATTCTCAATGCCCTGGGTTTCTGCAAATGTTATCGAAAAGATGCGGGGTTTTCGGCACAGTTTGGAGACGTTACACCTGGATCTTCGCGGCGTGAAAGTCACCTCCGACGGCCGCGCCTGCACGTTCCGAGACTTTGGGAAGCTTCAACGTGTCCTTATCAACACGCGGCTTTTGTTTAAAATTTCACCCGACCGTTATTCAATTACCCGGGTGTTACCGCCATCGATAGTATCTCTGCACTTGGGCTGGGACGGTCTAGAGTTGGATCGCACTGAATGGGGGACCTTGCAGTTGAGATTTGTGGCTGAGAGCGTAAAGCAGCAAAGAGAACTTAGTCACTTAGAACGGGCTTTACTAGAGCTTGCTAATGTCAAATCTGAAGGCTTTCAAGATCTGAAGCATATTGGCCTCGACTGTTGGGACAAGATGGATGCAACCGTTCGTGAGGCCATCTGTGAGGCGGGTATTGAATTTGTGCAAGAGACTTGGCCGCCCGCTTATCAGAAATGAGCCAGATGGGGAAAAATATAAAGATTGGATGAATAATGGCGTGCAATAAAGCTGTCCCAAGCCCTACTATGATAAAGCAGTAATGAGTAACAGTGTTGCAACTATATTTCCGAGCTTTTTTCGTATTGGACGACTTGTATTCAATTGCGAGGAAAGTCGTTTCAGGTACGATGGATGGCGGAGTCGAAAAGTAACACCGGTAGATTCGCAGTAGTAAGACAATCCTATTTTTGTCGACATGCTTCCAGTATTATCTCATTCTCCTTCTCGCCAATAGAGAAATTATCAAACATGCTTTTAGGAAGAGACGCGATTAGATATTATCTTTTAACAAGAAGAAAAAAACGCGATGGACCTCGACCAACATGGGACCTGCAGCAATATCTAAGCTGTACTACCGAACGATTTAAAAATTACCGAGTTTTCTCTGCTGATTTAAGCTATTATCAACAAGTCGCCTTGAAGATACCAATCACTGCTTGGTCCAGATCTCGGCCGAGCATAGCGGGGTAGTAACTACCTAAGTTGTGGATGACTGATTACATGTAATCAGCTCGATCACAGGGTCAGATAAGTGCGGCTGCATGTAAGCTGTTGTGGCACGTATGAGCGATGATGAGCCTAGAAGTTGACCGCAAGGCGCTGAAAAGGCAGATTCGCTCTTGTGTAAAATGAGCCTAGCTTGGTGTAGACCTTGAGGCTTTAGCGGTCCTTGGGTGGGCTATTCCAAGGGGCGTCTGCATACACTGCCTGGTTCTGCCTGGTTGTGCCTCCTTTGCGTTACAGCCCAATCCCCAATCGGCTGTGCATTACTGCCTTGGCTGACTAGCCCGGTATGTGCATTGCTCAAAGTGCGGGGCTTAATTGCGACAAAGGATGCATTGCATGACATTCGAGCTTTTAAATTGCCAGTCATTCATCTTTGCCAATTTGTCCTTACATTTACGCCATTTCACTTATCCTTCTTCCAGCTGTGGTTGCTCATTGAAACTGAATCCACATCAAGCACTGACTATCTCGTCTCCTTGTAGAAGATAGTTAGACTTCACCTGTCACCTTATTAGTTATTGCGAAAAAGCCTCACGAAGCGGTACGGATTGACCCAGTCACGATCAAAATGACATTTCAGTACGACAAACTGCCGAACAACAATTTCTTCCGCGTCTTTGAGCTCGGGCCCGGAAAGAATAGCGACCCCCTTCAAGGCAATCTTCGAACATATTTAAGACAGCGAGCTCCCAAGTACGAGGCGCTAAGCTATGTGTGGGGTTCCCCAGTGCAAAATCGGCATATGATATGCAATGGTCAGATATTTATGATAACTAGTAGCCTCGACACAGCCTTAAGGCGCCTTAGGCTTGTTGGTGATTCACGATGTCTGTGGGTCGACCAGATTTGCATTGACCAAACTTCTCTCGAGGAGCGTTCTGAACAAGTTTCTATTATGAGGCATATTTACTCTGGAGCCACGCTTGTTAATGCTTGGCTTGGCCCAGCAGACCCAGAAGAGGCGACCGCAGCTGGAATGATAATCTCAACTCTTGCCAAAAGGAGGCCAAACGAATTCCGAGAACAGGAGTATTTTCCTCAAAACGACTATCTACTGGAACTTGGGCTTCCTGCTAGAAATTCGCCCGCTTGGGAGGCTCTTAACTCTATGCTAAACGCTCCGTATTTCTCTAGGATTTGGATCCTGCAAGAACTTGCTCTTGCAACTACGTATACCATATTATGGGGTGATCTCGTTATCCCTAAAGCTGAATTCATGGCATTCAAAATGGCAACGTTGCTTCTTGGGATGCGTCATCGAGACCCGAAGACCCAGGTTTTGACTTTGATGAAGGAGGATCCGTATAGTTCTTGTCCAGCGGTCGAGTGGAATATTGTTACCATGGTCTTCGCCGATGACTACAGAGGAAGAATACGAGGTCTATATGAGCTTGTTTCTTGGGCACAAGGCTGTCAAGCGACTGACCCCCGCGATAAGATCTTCGCATTGCTAGGCCTCGCCGGCGTCCGGACATATAGCATTATACCAGACTATCGCAAGACGGAGTCGACAGTCTTTGCAGAGTTTGCTTTCAAGGTTATATCAAAAGATAGGAACCTTGAACTCCTCAATCACACAGACATAGAAGACCCTAGTGACAAAGAACGACGGCCCCTTTGGGCACCGAGGTGGCATCACAAGGGCGCGGCTAAAGGTTTGGATCTGAGTTTCCGCTGCTTCAAATCTTCAACTGCAACGGAGATTATGATGAGATCATCGAACGACGACCAAGCATTGGAGTTAAGGGGTCTGCATATCGACAAGGTGAAAGATACTAGCAATCCGTGTAAGGGGCGAATGGAAAATATCATGGCTATGGGTAGCAAGGCCATCGATCACGCAAGCCTCCTGAAAGACCAGTACGGTTCAGACATAATTACACCAATTGTTTTGACGATGATGATCGGCCGAGTACGGTCTCTTGACGGTGGGCTGAGCCGTCCGACGAATAACTCGTACCTCAACGCCTTCACAGGGTTTGCTTTCCAATTACTTCTGGTGGCTTTCTCCGGCATAAATGACAATGAAAGTTATCGGGGAGCGATGATTCAACTTATCAGAATGGCAGTCCAAATTAGTCTTTCTGTGCCACAAAACGAGTCCATCTTGAGAGAATCTGAGGTATGGGATTTCATAAATGATACAATGGCCCAGCTCTCTCTAGGCGATTTGGAAACTTTATCCTCCTATGCGGATATCATTGAGAGAATCTTAGGTGAAATTGGGGAGGACGCTTTGGCCTTTGAGCGGAATGTGGCATGCTGTGATGGTAGAAAGTTCTTTCTTACGGAAAAGGGCTATATTGGCATAGGCCCTCGTTGTTTAGAGCCCGGAGACTCTGTCTGCATTCTTTTTGGAGCAGAAATGCCGAGTATCGTTCGCCCAGTTGCACCCTCCAGCGATGAGTATCTATTTCTTGGAAACGTATATGTACATGGGATTATGGATGGGGAGGCTATTACTATTTGGGAGGAACAGAAGGATTCCCAGGATCCTACATTCCAGGAACAGTTTTTTAAATTATTATAAAAGAACTCAAGTTATGGACGATACCACTTTTTCGTAAGTAGCAGTATGCAATACAGTACTTTCTCGCAATACGTCCATCCCCTAAAACCAACTATATTTCGCCGCTGTTTGTAGCAGAAGTCCAACTGTCTTCTTTCTGGCCATCACAAGTCTATGTGATAGCGGGCGTCAACGGAGAAAGGAGCTTCATCATGGCCGTCAATCTCTCCTAGTGTCCAAAGATGGTGGTATGCGGCTTATTTCAAACAAGGGTAGTCTGGCAAATTTGATAGCATCTGTATGAGCCACGACCTAATGCCTAAATCTTGGCTAAATGGGAGGAGCTATTTCAGTTCATAATGGGAGTCGCCAAAAAGTATCTTCTTCTAGGCCGGGTGACTTTTGGAGCCTAGGTTGAGAGGTGTGAGTCGTTCGAGAAGCAGAAGCGAGTTCGATGGTGTGTAAGCCGTTGTGATATGGAAATAGGTCATCTCTTTTTACACGAATTGCAGTTCCTTTTCTCATCAACAGGATTATTCTCTAACCCAAGGCGGCATGCTATCACTAGTATCAAGTCTTTCAAAGGTCCTATCATTCATTCAGCAAAGTGGCGATACGACGTCGATCTCACCGGGAAGCGGGTAGTGCTTTTCGTTACCGGCTTCACAGCTATACATACCGTGCCAAAAACCAACCCTAGAACAAAGGTAACTTTATATGTAAACCCAACAAGCCCTTGTGAAAGTGGTAACAGGAAATGCGAAAGCATAGATAGAGAGAGACAACGGGACATTCATCGTAGCGCAGCAAATATACTACGCTGAGCCAGTCAAGGAACGCCAGATCGTTGTTGGCCTTCGCCTTATTCAACACTTTGATGGATACTCTACGAATATTGAACAAATTAGAGTTAGCTAAAGCCATAGAGAGTATTACTGGCACAAGAGTGCAATGCAATGGCACGCACGTTCAGCTTCGATGTCAAGCTTCTCAAGTCTATTCACAGACTCTGGGTCAGGATAAGTAAAGCGTATTTCATGTACAGTGACAGCTAGAGAAGGAGATAGAGAAGAGTAGTACTCCATCAGCCGAGCCAAGACACAAGCGACTTCTAAGTGGAGTGCAGAATAGGTTCTAGAACAGAAATTTGTTCGCTTAAACATCGATTCGGCGGTCATGGGCCCGACTTCTTCTCGTTTGATCCACGCCAAGATAGCTAAATGCACGCGAACCCCTGCCAAATCCATCAAAATCTTTTATCTGATCCATCGGATAAGATTGTTGTTATCAGATGATCCATTTGACATTAAAGAAGCTTAAGACTAGCCGAACTTTCGTCTCTTAGCGTGTATAAATTCGCGCAATGGACCCATCTGTCAACTTTCTCGCCCTATTGCAAGACGCTGGTGACGACTAAAATTCGTATTAGCTTGCCAAGAGAGGCTGAGAAAGAAGCTTAAAAGTTTAGTGCTTCTAGCTTGTAAGAGGTGAATGATGAAAGCTGCGGAATGGTGCCATGGAAGCGGAAATGAACAAGAATGAGGGTATTTCTGGCCATATAAGGATAGGATCAGCACCCTTGACAAGAGGTTCGTCATCCAAGGTCTTATTCACACATATTGAGACGTTATTCGTCAATTGGTCGGATTATTCACTATGAGCGACCAAAAGCCTGCGAAGCATGAGGCTTCTTCAGGTCTGACTGAAATCGCTCCTGATCCAGCTCTCGAGAATTCCAAGGCTGAGGATGCTGTTTCTGACTCAATAGTTGAAGATGCAGACGACCGGCCCATTGTCCCTATGACTTGGAGACTTGGCTCCGTCCTACTCATCTGTCTCATCAGCTTTGGCGCTTCTTGGTCTGCTCGTTTGACATCATCACTCAAAAGCACCATCAAGAAGGAACTGGACATCAACAACACGCAGTTCGCGCTGCTAGAGGCCAGTGAGGAGTTCTTGGTCACGCTGTTGATGATGGCTTCTGGCATTCTGACGGATCGGATCGGCGGTGCTGGTAAGTTTTGTTGATCCTCATCCACTTGAATATCATTTGCTGATTCATGTAGGTGCCATGCTTTACGGAAACCTCATCATGACTGCCGGCGCTCTCGTCATCGCAGGCGCAGCGACATGTAGGTCATTTCCCCTCATGATCTTTGGCAAAGTCACCGCAGCATTGGGAGACATTGCCACTCAAATCGCGTACTACAGAGTATTTGCAGGATGGTTTGCACCTGGCGAAGGCTTTGGTACTACTATCGGTCTGCAGATTGGTATCGCTCGAATCGGTGGCTTTGTCGGAAGCTCCACGGCCAACGTCATCTCCAAGGTAAGGAGTCTCTGAGGAACCAACATTAGAGATGGACGCTGACTACGTATTAGAATACCGGAAACTTTGCTTGGGTCTTTTGGATCGGCGCATGCGTTGCATTCTTCACAAACCTGTGCACACTTTTCTTCTTTTTCTTTACAAAGACTGCACACAAGCGCTTTCGCCCGCCTCCTGATCCAGCGACCGGCGAATCGTTGGTGGAGAAGAATAAGAAGTTCGATATGAACAAAATTATTCAACTGCCTTGGGTCTTCTGGACGATTATGCTTTTCTCGATGGTGCAGACAAGCTGTTCCAACATCTATTCTCAAAATGCCACTGAGCTTGCTGAGCATCGTTTCGGAGTAGATGCTGTGGCGGCTGGTTGGTATGCCTCTTTGTCGCAGTATGCAGGTAAGCCATCCCCATGGGTCATTTTCCCAGAGTTGAGGTACTAATCAAGACACATAGGGTTTTTCCTCAGTCCTTTGATCGGAGCTGTCATCGACACTTATGGTCATCGTGTAACACAGATGGCTATTTGCGGCACTGGCATGCTACTATCGATGGGACTCATTAACTGGGGCACTACAACCAGCAGCGCAGCTGCTTCATATGCATTCTACGCTATCTTCAAGACGTTCGGCCCTGTTACAATTATCGAGGGTATTCGAACTAGTATGTGGCATCAAGATGTTTTTGGTACTGCTTATGCTGCCAAGGTGACCATGAACAACGCGTGAGTCAAACCCAGCCCCCCGCAAATATCCTAATGGCTGACGATAGATTAGGACTAATATCATCATTCGTATCATCACCGGCGTCATCCAAGATGCCGACGGTGATTCTTACGACAGGGTGACCATTGTCTATGTCTTCCTCGCTACCGCCTCTACCGTTGTATCCTTAGCGATGCTGATCGGCACCTTCTGGGCTCCCGATCTTCAAATCCTGCAGTACTCTCGAAAACAGCGAATCTTGCGCGGGGATTTGATCAACGACAGAAGAGAAAAGAGCCAGGGACCCACCGGCAGGAGGGCTAGAATGATTAGCAAGGTCTGCTTCGTTGCGCTGTTCGTGTATGTGCTGGGAAGCTGGGCGGCTTGGATCTGGGGCGCTGCGACGGGGAACAACTAGACGATGCAAGTGTTCAGGATAAATAAAGACTACTGTTTCTCCTGGCTGGGTTTATGAATCGTGGCTGCGGAACCTATCTGCGGGACCGATGAAACGCGGGCCAAATCTGCGGAGCCGCACGGATGTTGGCCGATAAGTCACGCACTACAGCCCTGCAAGGACGGGCCCGATCCTATCAATTAGGACCGACAGTCTCGCTTCTATTCTATGAGTCATGCTAGTCTAATCTATTTGTCCTCGATGATCTTTACAATTAGATCTGCTGTTTCTTCCGTCTTCTCCACGAACGGACTATGGCCTGCCGCCAGCCTTGCAGACCTCATCCCAGCCGTTGACTCCACAAGCTTTTCCTGCAGAGGCAACAAGATAAGCTGATCATTTTCGCAAATGATATATGTCTTCGGGATAGTGATATCCGATGCGATAAATTCCAGACTCGTCTCAAACGCATCCTGAGAATGCGGCTCCGTAGCCTCCAAAGCCTTATCTATCGCTTCTTCACTGCATCCACTGTACACACTCTGCCTCGCTCCCTCTGCCATCCTAGTAATCTGGTTCTGCAAATCATTAGCGACACGATGCGAACGCTTTGATCTTTCTCACCTTTGTGTACTTCTCGCCAGCCTGCAGCCAGGGCGGATAAGCCCCACCAAACGTCGTGATGAGATCCCAGCCCTTGACCGGGATAGCAAACGCAGCTAAGAAAATAATCGAGTGGAATCCACCCTTTAAGCCGCGTTTCGAACGTTCTCCTATGCCTTGGCCCTCAGTGGCGGCAGTCGCGGGAATGCCGCCGTAGGAATGAGCGATGAGAACGACTTCGTGACCTTGTTTGAAGAAAGGCTCTGCTGTTTCGATGATCTTCGCTTTGTCTGCTTCCCATGTGACGCCGTGACTTTCAGGACCTACAGAGGGGAGTTTCGGGATGATGCATTCATAGCCGAGGTTGGTCAGGGCGGATTTTATGGCGTCGTAGCATTTTGGGGGATGCCATGCTCCGTGAACGAAGAGTAGAACTGGTTTGTCGCTCATCTTCAGTGACGCTTGCGCTTGTGAGTTGATGTGGCTGGCTGTTTCATATCATAAAAGGGACCAAGCATAGTTCTTATAATTAGCCACAATATCATGATGCAGGCTTTGCAGAAAACAGCTGATACCGGACCACGTGGATCTCTTCAGCAACGTGCATGTCCTCGTAATGCATCCCTGCACTATCTCCATAGAACTAAAAGCTTGACTGACGGTTCAGGGGAAGTGAGGTGAGGTTCGGCGGCTGAACATCCTTCCATGGGCCAACATATGACTTAGAGTTTGCACCCCTGTTCTTCCGCACACTAACACCGCGGGTTTGGTACCGGACCCTTGACTACGCCTTGCAGGGTTGCATGCGCAGTGGGATCTGTCCCTTTGAATGCCGTGAGCCCGCGTGTGCCGCATTATGTTGCACTAAGCGACGAACGAGTCAGGAATCGGCTGTTTCAATGCCTACTCCCATTTTGGTCACTGTCGGTGGTAAGTTCAAACCATATTTCACGCTTCGCTCCCCAGGCTCGTTCCTAGCTGTTTTGGTGATTTAGTGTCTTTCCTAGCATCGTTATTACCATCGGCATTATGTCTGGCAATAATTCGACTCCATCTCTTCCGCCTGAGGTCTTGAATCATAATGAAGGGCCTTCTCTCATCATAGTAAGCGCAGTCTGTATACCCTTCGCTTTCGGCGTTGTGGCTATTAGAGTATGGGCTCGACACCGAAAGCGAATGGCCCTCGAACGTGATGATTTCATGATACTCTTGTCATTGGTAAGATTTGTGGTTTCTCGATCCTCTTACGCCACGAAGCGCTGACGGAAATTCTAGCCATTGCTTTGGGCGACTGCTGGAGTTGCGATTGCATGTTGGTTCCCTTGCAGAATTGAGTTGCACTCAGTGCGTAAACTAATGTTGCTCTAGCTGTAACATACGGCGGCGTTGGCAAGCCATTGGCGGTCAACATGATGCAAGATCCAAATCGCCTTGGACGAGCTCAATTGGTATTTGACTATCCTCACCGTCGCAATACGAGTGTTCTAACACCTTTCTTCGTAAACAGTGTCTTGTTTTAACCGAATTCGTCTACGGCACAGTCCTCTGCACCATTAAAGTCGGCATCCTCTTAATGTACTACCGAATCTTCCCAACAAAGTCCATGCGGATCGGCGGCTACGTACTCGGAGGAATGACCTTTTCATGGTGGATAGGCATCATCTTCGCATCCATCTTCCAATGCTCGCCCGTCGACAAAGCCTGGAAGCCGTTCATGAAAGAGGGTACCTGCCTGGATAAGAACAAATTCTTCATCGGTAACTCGATACCGAATATTGTGATGGACGCTATGATTATCGCGTTGCCGGTCTTTGAGGTGTCGAAGGTCCAGGTGCCGAGATCGCAGAAGATTGCTATTGCAGGAATATTTCTGCTTGGTGGATTGTAAGTTTCTGGGTGTAATTTAAAGAAGAAATGTGCTCATTTCGTAAAGGATCGTGATCATCAGCTGCATTCGGTTGAAGTACATTGTGGCCCTCCTCCAAGCAGGACAAGAAGCAGACTTCACAAGTAAGTACCTCATGTCTTCCCTTACCAATCGATGCCATACTGACCGACATGCACAGAACTCATCTCAACACCCTGGATCTGGACAGTCATCGAACCATCAGTCGGCCTCCTCTGCGCCTGTCTCCCAACGATGCAACCGCTCTTATACGTCCTCTTCGGTCGCTTCATCACCAAAACTACACAAGATCGCAGTAAAGAGGGAATTATCACAATTAGAGGCAGCGGCCAAAAGTCAGCAGACAGACAGAAAGGTCCTGTCAAAGATGGACCATTTCGAAGACTACACGATAATGACTCGGCTGAGGAGCCTGTTCTGTGGCCGGAGACGTATCATAATCAGCATAATACTGTGGTGGAGCACTCGAAAGGTGTGGCCGTGGATGAAATTCCGTTGGGTACTATTGCGGTGAAGAAGGATATAAGATGGGAAGAGTCGTAAAAAGAAGGATATATTATCATGAATAGGCAACTCGATAAATCATGGTTGAGAGGTATTTGGGCATAGTACATTTTACTGAGTTTATTCGTTTGAGGCCAATGGAACAGCTTTTCGAGATAATTTTATAAGCAAGCCGGAGATAGGTAGGATGTGGTAAATTAACAAATGCCTGCTTACATGTAATGATACATATTATCGCGCAGTGCTTATCTCAGCCGTATTGGATTGGCCTGGATTCCTTGCAATATCCTCAAGGGGTATGTTCTTCAGCCTTTCCACTAAATTTGATCCCTTACCACCTTCATTGCTTGGACCTGTGAATGAGCGGCTATCCGAGGAGGTCAACGAAATAGCATCCGAGTGTGGGCTCTCAGCCTGAAGAATAGGTAAAGGAGGCAAGTTCTGGCCATCTGCTGACTGCTGCTCGGACACTGTTTCAGCAGGCTTAGTCTTTGGAATAACCTGCACATCAGGTAGATACCAAGACAACCAAGCGGATACAAGCGTTAAAGGCATTAGAGCAAGAAGCCTTATCCCAAGACTTCTTTCCTCGTCCCCATGTCTTGTCGCAAAAATAATAACACGGATAATAATAGCACCGACCTTGCCTGAAGCTGCGGCTATGCCGTTGAATGTTCCTCGATAAGTAGTTGGGAATATCTCCGCGGCTAGCACAAAGATGAGGGTGTTGGGACCGAGGTTGAACAAGAACTGAAGGATTCCATAACAGACGACAGCGGCGTAGTGAGGATTGCTGGCACCAAGGAGCGTGCCTCCAGCTATAGCAAGGAGGACTGTGATGGTTAGGAATGTCGCAATCAGAATCACCTTTCTTCGGAAGAAGTCGATAATGAGGATTGACCCGATGCTACCAGCCAGTGAGCCAATAGAAACAATAAAAATAGATCTGAGGGCGTTTTGCTCGATCATGTTGGAGATGGTGTTGTTTCGATTCCAGAAATCTTTGTTCCATGGGTCATCTCCGCATCCTTCGACGCCATCACCAGACGCCCGTCGAAAATGTCGCATCACTCCATTGGGAGAGCTTGGATCATGAACCAGCGTGGCCAACGTATTGCTGAGGTCCATCGTCAAGCCGTACCAGGGAACATCCATGATGGCCCAGAGAAGAGATATGAGAACCAAAGGTCTCCATCCTTTCTTTGGTCCAGTCAAGTAATCCCACGCTTTGCTGTACCAAGTGTACCACGGCTCCTCCTCTTCCATTGATCTGCCTGTCGAAAGATCGGTCTCTCTACCAACCTCTTGAATGCTTTTGTTTCGTCCATACAGTTTCATCGCATTTGAAACACCTTTGCGTGGATCCTTCATAATTCCAGCGTAGAATCTCGGTGTTTCGGGTATAGTCAAACGGAGCAAGATGGCTATAGCTGCAGGAATCAGAGCAACTCCAACAGTCCATCTCCATACTCTGTCTATTGCCAGTCTCCTTGTTTCTTCGTCATCACCCGGGTTTGACCCGCGCAAGGCGCCCAGACTGACTGTGTAAGATAATAGACGCCCTAGTGATTGCATGGAAAAGACTGCCGAGAGCATAACTCCCCTGGATTCGGTTGATGCCCATTCCGCAGTAATGATACTGGATAGTGGATACTGTAAATGATTATTAGCCCGAGCTTCTTGCGTAAATGATGAAAGCGAGGTTTACTTCTGCCCCTATACCAAATCCGAGCAGGAACCTCCACCAGGCTATCCAGGAATAAATATTCATTGAACTGATTGTGGTTTTGACGGCTGTATAGCCCTCAGAGGCTTGCACCATGCCAATAGTAGCGACGATGAGAATCGTCAACTCGGCTCCATACCACTTCTTTCTTCCCGATCGATCGGCGAGATGCCCCATCAAGAGCATCCCCAAGATCGTGCCGGTCAGAGTGAGTTCATCGATGATAAGACTGGGGTCTTGTCCGAGCCTGTCGCAAGGCGGATAGACATAAAAGAGGGCAATGGACAAGATGTCAACAGAAAAGAGAGAGTAAGACGACGCAAGGAAGCCTGAAGCAGCGACGAAAAAGACTCTGATCTTGAAGCCGCCGTCGTCGACGATCATTGTGATTTGCTTTTCGCGTTCACGCGTGCTCTGAATGGGGGTTAGCGGCCGTTGACTTAGATAGTGGACACTTACGTAGTCGATCTCGACTAAATGTTTCACTTCCTCGTTGTAGTCAATCCAGAAGCGGCATCGTCTTCTGGACTTCTTTGCAGAAGTGGACTCGATGTGCGTAGGATGGGGATCCATGGTGAACTCGATGCATAATGAGATGACGAGCGAGCGAAAATTGGGAGGCCCAAGGACTCATGATTTAACTAATGAATCAATTGGTCTTAAGGCTGACAGGGTTCGCCGTCTGTTGTGCTTCAGCCGCAGTGATTCCACTTGGTCGGAGAGCGCCTTGCTTACATATTTATCCCTCGAATCACAGAGCCCCACACAACCCCGTGGGCAGGACGTTGGACCATCGCGATAGATATTAAAAGAAGCCGCAGCAAAGTGGCTGCATTGGCGCCGCATTGGTTGCCGCTTCTAGGCAGATTTTATAGGAGGTGATAATGTGACCAAGAAACGGATCCCTCGCCCTGGAACCTGAGACAGGACGATCGCTACCTTGTGTCTCTCACGGACCCTCACGGAGTTTAACTTTGACAATTTTATCACACAGACCCACGCTTATTGCAACGACTTACAACATGTTCCTGCAAACATGGATCCTGGGACTATCTTAGCGGTTGTCTCGCTGGTATTGCAGGTTATTACACTAGCAGACCAGGTCATCGAGAGCTTCGAGCGGCTCAAAAACGCTCCACAGGAGCTTAGGGACTTTCGACAATCTGCTGTGCGGCTTCAGCGCCATCTTGAAGCGCTTCAAAACGATGTTTCATATTATTCCTTGCATGACATCTTGCATGAGGATGATGTTCACGAGATCGAGGAGACACTGACCTTATGCAAAGAACTCCTTCAGCAACAGGTTACTTCATCGAAAGGCCTAGTGGTTACCACTGTCATCCGGGGTGTTTGGACATTCAGGAATAATCAGAAGCTTGTAAAGTACAAGACTCGTATAGACGCGCATTATACCCCGATTCTGGTGCCCTGCTGGTTAAGTTCTCTAAGGCAAGCGTGCGTTTCTTGATCCCCACGAACATGTTACTTATGAAGATGTTTCCAGTGGCAGAAATAACCCTAACCGCTCTCTATTATCATCCGGGAGAGAGGATACGACAGTTGTCGCAGAAACCTACAATAATGCCCTGACAGACCCAGCACCGCCGTCGCAATACCAAGTTGCACCAGAACATATACAGCAGATAACGGTGAAGCTTCATAAGCTCAAAACTGCTGACGATAAGGAAGCTACCGAGCAGACACTTCGGAGCATCGACTATGAGCTGAGAACATGTTGGACAGAGCTGGGGCTGGTGGAGGAAGGCACTGACGATCTCGTCGACTACCCAATGCCGAACATTAAACGTATGGATAGCTTTGCTTTCAGCTTAAGTTGGGATGATAATTGACTAACGTCTGGATGCATTACAGGTAGATCAACACTCAGTTATGAAGACGCACCCACTACATTGTACGCAACTGCAACCGTATAACCTCTCTTGCACTGACCTTTACTAGGGAGTTGGAGAGTGCACTGCAACAGCATAGACGACTACGCCTCAGGAGACTTCATATTATGGCTCGAGATGACGAGTCTCGCATTTTACAATACCAGAATGGCGACTGTACTATACATGTCACACACGTCGGTACCGTCGTCCACGTGCCCCCCAGAAAAGGCACTTACTGACCCGCTTAGTACCTTACGGTCCCATACCTTGGACTCGCAACAAGTCCTCCAAGAGAGTTTCCTTTCTCAAAAAACACCTCGTCACCGTTGTCGACAGCGAAGGCTACCACATATATCGTCTCGATCCAAAGTACAAGTTCGAAGACCGAGAAGCCTGCGATAAATTCCAGTCGACGCTCCGCGAAAGAGAACTCGTCGGCGCTTTCGAGGCCGTCGAGGTAAAAGCCGATGGCCGAATCGTTGCTCGAAGACAAATGCTACGGTTCTGGCATAGGGTTGAGCGAGATGGCACGACGACCAACACCTTCACCTACTATATATCTTCAGGGACCTCGGCGGGAGAGCATGATGAGATCAACCTGGCCCAACTCCAGAGTTCTGTCACAATCCCACGTATTCGACGTCTATCTTGGGACATTGGAAGGAGAATCGAGTCTAATGCAGTGGACCTCATGCCTTCTCCACAGGGATCGAGGCAGTTTCATCTAAAGTTCGAAACCGATCAAGGTTAGTATTTCATTTCATCATCTGAATAGTGAGACCTAATTATAGGCTAGAAACAAAGCAGTTTAAGGCGAGATTCTCGGTTATGCAAAATGGGGGTTTCTCACAACCTCCGTCGCTAGCCGGTAACTGTTCAACTAGAGCAGAGTCGACTCTAGTGGGCACGCCTATGGTAGGACCAAAACCTGATCTTACTGAGGTGCCAATTATTGCTCTCGATACAGGTGCTCAAGAGGGACTTTTCGAGGAATGGAACACGGCCGTTTTCCAGGTCGGAACTAACAAACTTTGAACAGGGCATCGAAGAGTTTTTGTGTTTGGAGCTGGGCTGTTGGTGGGTTTTCGAGGATATAACTTTGCGAAACGAGGATCGGCTCTGTGAAGCTGTACTATCTAAACACATTTACTACCATGTAGACATTACCTTATTATAATAAAGCATAATCTAAGTCACTAGACTAAAATTCGTCCACTCTAAGATATCTCAGTGCCAACGGTCCCAATCCACTGAGCTTTAAGGAATTTATGTAATTAACTTCAGTTAATTCAATGCCACCAACCCTGTAGCTCCCCCGCAATCTCCGATAACTCAGGTGGATCATCTCCCCACAACCACTATCATCCTTATCGTCGCCCGACGGGCGATCACATCCAACCAATCACACAACCTCACCTAGCCAATAGCATATCTCCATCCGCCGTCTTTAGATCGACTCATCTATCATCCAAAACCTCAAAATCCACACTCGCCCCTTTCTCCATGTCGCGCTCATCACCCTTTATTCTTCCTTCCAGTGTTCTTCCAGCAACATGAAGAATCACGACGCTGATTTAGCACGCGATGCCGCTCAACTCGCAGCGCTAGGCCACAAGCAGGAGCTAGAGAGAAATTTCTCCTTTGTCTCTATGCTTGGCCTTGCCTTTTCGATCCTCAATTCCTGGACTGCGCTTGCGTCGAGTTTGTCTGTTGGTTTGCCTAGCGGTGGTCCTACAGCAGTTATTTGGGGACTGGTCACCGCTGGAGTGGGCAGTTTGTCGCTTGCTGTTTCGAACGCCGAGTTTCTTTCTTGTTATCCTACCAGTGCTGGGCAGTATCATTGGGCTGCTATCATATCGCCTCCGAAGTGGGTAGCTATTGTCTCGTGGGTTACTGGTTGGGTTAATGTTAGTGGATGGGTTGCGCTGTCTGCTTCTGGTGGTGTTCTGGGCGGACAATTGTTTCTCGGTATCATCACCATGTACGACCCCGACTTCGCACCGACACGATGGCAGTACTTCTTGCTGTTCCTCCTATACACATTCCTCGGGTTCTTTCTCAACCTGTTCCTGGCTTCAGGATTGCCGATGATGACAAAGATCGCGCTGATCTGGTCAGTCTGCGGTCTCCTCGCCACTACCATCACTGTCTTGGCCACCAGTGCCCCTGACTTCCAGCCAGCCAGCTTTGTCTTTGGAGAGTTCATCAACTCAACTGGCTGGCCTGGAGGCGTCGCATTCCTCTTGGGTCTCTTGCAAGGTGGCCTTGGCCTTACGGGTTTCGATGCCGTTGCGCATATGATCGAAGAGATTCCCCAGCCCTGCATTCGAGGACCTCGCATTATGGTCGCTTGTGTTGCCATGGGTCTCGTCACAGGCTTTGCCTTCCTTGTATGTCTTCTTTTTGTCATCAAAGATGTAGATGCCGTCGTCGCCTCCCCAACTGGTCCTCTCGTCGAGATCTACCTCCAGGCTACGAACAGCAAGGCTGGTACTGTTTGCCTACTACTCTTCCCCATGATCTGCCTTGTCTTTGGTACCCTTGGTATCATGGCCACAAGTACCCGTATTGTTTACGCCTTTGCCCGCGATGGAGGCCTACCTTTCTCCCGAGTGTTCGCCAAGGTTGACCAGCGATGGGGCATTCCAGTCAACGCCCTCTTGCTCACTAACGCAATCGTTATCATCTTTGGACTCGTCTATCTTGGATCAACCAGTGCCCTCAACGCCATTTTGTCGGCTGCTGTTATCGCTCTCGCTATCTCATATGCCGTCACCCCTGCCATCAACTGTCTCCAAGGACGCAAAGGACTATTGGACAACCGACCGTTTGTGGTACCAGAGTGGCTCGGCTGGACCTGCAATCTTGTAAGTACCCCAAAAGCAAAGAAATCTGTCCGTGGACTTTCACTGACCCTGGATCTAGGTTGGTATTGCCTACACGATCGTCATCACCATCTTCCTCCTCTTCCCTCCCGTTAGCGATGTTACAGCCTCCAACATGAACTACGCAGTGGTCGCATTTGCAGTCATCATAATTGTTTCTTCGATTCAATGGTTCGTCGATGGAAGGCATAACTTCAAGGGGCCTACTTTCGACGAAGATGCGCTGTTTGTCAGCGGAATTGAAGAAGCCAGTGGAAATAAGCTAGGAGACGATAATGACTCGAAGGTCAACAAGATAGATGCAGAGGTCTAGAAGGCGATATGAACCGAGCTGTAACTATATTTTATCACTTTATTTGAGAGAGGCGTGTTTGCCGCTTTTACCAGGGAAGCGCTTTGATACGATATTTCTTCTACTTTTGACTTGATCGTCATTAAGGGGTTCACGGTACAAGTGACGCATTTCATGATATGAGTGTTCCTGCAATAATATGGCAAGACATCGACTTATTTCAAACATACGTTGTAACCCCCGAAACTGTCACAGGTGTAACGCTTGTAAGGTCATCACGTTGAACAGGCAACAGAGAATGTATCCGTCGTGGCACAAAACTGAGGGCAATGACTCATGATCAGCCGTCATACCGAGACTCGTAAATTACCACCGGATTTCCCCGATACACTGGAGCTGTACGGAATATCGAAACAACAACTGGCAACCCCAGTATCTAGCCTTTGAAGATGCGATACCAAGTCGTACCCCGTGGGGAATCGGCCAACGTCCATCGCTTGGGAATGCTACATCGAGTTTAGTTCCCCGCAATCGCCGTTGACCTAAACCAAAAAGAGAAAGGTGGTGCCCGTCGGCCGTCGGCCGTTTTCTGAGCCACGCGATCCAAGCCAGGTTGGACAATGGCTTCATTATCTTCACCGCGGTAGATATGAGGAAGGATCTTTTCTAGATCAGAGTTCAATGACTCAGAAATACTCTCATCTAGTTTCGCTTCACGTCTAATCATGACTGCTCTGTGGTCCGAGAGTCGAAGATGTAATTTAAGTGTATGTAAAACAAAGGAATTCTTTCACGGCCCGTATTACAAGAGAAGGTGGTCGCTATTTATACCAAAACAGAGCTTTCATAATAAATAAAGAAATTTATTTATAGATTGTCTCTTTTAAATACATTTGATAATAGAAAGTCGTGAGTTTTACGGACGATAGTCTACCAGCACTCTCATTTCATGCTCAATGGCCTGCAATAAATAACACTCATTCCCATACAAGTGCATGCTCTCCCCTCTGCCTACAAGGTATTCTACAGGCGTGGTTTATCTTCAGCACAGCATGACTTCTCTTCGGCCTTTTCGGCATTTGTCAGTTGTGACGTAAAGTTCTTCCTGCCGGGAACATCAATTGCCGGGTTTGCCGTAGAGAAATCGGCAGGCTTGATGTGAAGATCAAGAATCTCGACGGGCCTAAATAGTATTGGTTAGCAAGACAAACTTTCAATGCAATGTTGTTTGTCACTTACATGACTGGCCAGTCTTCCACTCTTGGATTATGAGTAAGTCCAAACACACTCCATAGCACGATGTCCTGCTGGAAAACATCATCATTCCTATCAGCAGCATCCGCAACGCCCTCAACCTCCGAGACAGATTGGAGGGTATATCGTCCGCCGGCATAGAATTCGTTATCTCTATGCTTAGTAACCCACAGATGTCTCTGCGCAAATCTCGCCCGTTTCGCCTGCGTGGAATTGGGATCCGCAAGCAACGGCCTCGTGACCGGCGCCAGAATTTTATACCCCACAGGCTGTCCACTGATTGGATTAAGTTTATCCATATTCTGCACCTTGAAGGTCCTGTCTGTGAAGGGGTTTGCGTCAAGACCTGCTGAGGCTGTAACTGGTGTTGTGACGACTTGGTAGGCGTTGCCGTTGGGGTTGGTGCAGGCATCGATGCGCATGGGGAGGGATTCTGTCTGGACGAGGGTGTTCTTGTGACCATCGATGGCGGGGTCGATGCGTACGCAGAAGATATGTTGGTGGTTTTGCGCGAGGATTCCGGGGCTTACGACGTTGCCCCATGGAGCCGTCTTGCCCTCTTCTATGAGGACGGAGGAGACGATACCAGTGGCGCGGGCTTGGACTGTGATGGCTCCTGCTTGGTCAAAGATATACTTGTGTTGTGTCAGTCGGTTTGTTGTAGCGAGAGGAGAAATGACTTACGTTGAAGATGTATTCGTAGTTGGCTAGGGTGATGATGAACTGCACCACGAGCTCTCGCCTGCGGGTCACAACAGCCCGTCCAGTGCGCCAGTTTGTGTGCTTCCAGTTAATTCCGTTGTCTTGCTCATGAAGGCAGATGACATTCTTGGTCGTGCGAGCTGTACCACTGTGATCAACCAAAACACCATCAAAGTACTGGGCTCTCGTCAGTACACAAATATTCTACAGTGAGAACAAGATCGCTCACCTTGATAACACCCAAGCAGTCACATCCAAGCTGCAGATTATTACAAGCATCTCCGAGCGTTCCATCACCAAAGTCAAAAGCCTGCTTTCGGTGGAACGGAGGTCGAGGATCTGCATAAGGAACTGTCATGTCGCTGATAGACAGTCTGTAGAGGACACTTCGGCCGTCGAAACGAACATCATGTAGCACCGCACCCTCACGAGGGTTAAAGGTCGCTCGCATACTCCACTTCTGCCAATTGATCACATTCGAGTCCTCAACATTGAAACTAGGTCCTGAAGGCTGAACAACATTGAGCTCCTTCAGGTCTCTTCGAAGACCACCAGGCAGAAGTTCTGGAACATATTCCGACGGTGTCATGTGATCGATATTGACTTTGGCGTAGTCACCTTCAGCGAAAGTGTGAGGATCATCTCCTCCGCCAGTAGCAACTTCATGAATGCGGATGACTTCGCGAGTCACGGCGTCAATAACGGGGATGATAGGGAGAGGATATCCCCAGAAGTTGCATTCGCGGTTCTTGCTGTCGGCAGCGTAGATCAGGGCTTGCATGTGTCGACGGTTGGGGTCGTCAGCGGCGTCGAGACCACCATATGGCCACGGCTCAACGACGACTTCAAAGCCTTGAGGGAGGTTAAATTTGGCGATGCGCTCCTTGAATACAGGGGAGTCTCGACAGATGATTCGCACATCATCCAGCTCTTCGCTACAGTAATTCGTCAGTCGCTGCCATCGTGTCAGACACATTATAGTGATTTGTCTTACCTTGTGAAAGCCGCTTGAGCATCCGCGCGGATTGACTCAATCTGCTTGATCTTTCTTGTGTTCAGGTCGATGATAGCCTCATGCGATTGTGGAGGTTTGCCACCATGAGCTGTATCGAAATGGACTCGAGCCTCACGAGCAGGTCTGGGTGTGGAGCTGGTAACATTTCCAGCATGCTCAAGATCGAGATAAGGAGCAAGGATCTCCTTTGCAGGCTCCTCAAGGTAAATAACCCGGAACTTCAGGACATTTTGAGGATAAGCGGCGCGAATGACATCGCGGGCCAAGTTCGTCTCCTCAACAGAGAGAGGAATTAGAGGATGAGGCTGAGACATCTTGGTGATTTCTGGGGTAAGATGAAGTATACCGGGGAAAGACAGAAGAAGAGCGAGGTTGAGGATTTTTAAGCCGCTTCGGACCAGAACTCATGATAACCTAACGCCGTCTGGAGCTAGTGTCATGCCAAGACGTGTCGCCCGGCGGCGGATTTGGGCTCTAGCGCGTATCTTGGTTGCAAGGAGCAGGGATTAGAGAAGCTAAGCTATCCTCGAGCCGGCTGAAAGTGGGTAATGAGGTGAGTTATGCTTGGTTCCGTGCGATCTGATTGGCTTACTTGACAACACAAGAAGTTGCAGAAATGTGCCCGGATTTGGTACATGACGGACACCGTTGATGATTGCCTTGCGATAAAGATGTATTGGTCATTGTGGAAGCTTTTTAGACAGAACCTTATACTACCGAAAAAGGATATTGTGTCCTCATTATTTCTGTTTGTGACTTGAGGCATAACTTTACGGATATCTAATTAACATAACCTATAGCTCACGCAAATATTGGATATATCTCAACTAGGAAACCTGTTTTGAGATCGAACAAACAGTAAGATTGTGAGTAGTTTTGACTTATCTGAAGTAAATCATTTTCATAAATCAGCCTCCTACGAGCCATCTTTTTCACGAGGTCTGTGTTTATACTTTAATGATTAATGATGTACCCATTTAGCATCTTCACACATTTACGTCGGTCACATTATTCCGAATGTATTAGCTATCTCACGGTTATCAGCTTAAATTCTTTTCAGAGCCGATCTCCAGCTAACCTCAGCGACATCAACTTAAATGTCACAATCTTACCTATCCGCCAGAGCAACTGTATGCATGTAATATGCGGGGCCTTGTTTTTGAATCAAGCTCGGCTAATGCGCGGAATACCATACAAATTTATTCTGCTGTTCTTGCGCTCCTTACCGCAGTAAATCTGATTTCTCGAATAGCCAAGTCTACAGGTGAGAAACCCCTTTTTAGATGATGTATGTTTAGTAGCTGAGAGAAGATGAGCGACACGTAACAAGATAAAAGACAAAATGAGGCCCATGTCATTTTCCAGTCAACTGACATGAAGGTCAGGCTGCGATTGGAGGGAACAAGCACTTAATATCCAATAGGCATTCGAGAATTAAGCGACACAACAGCTCAGCTCCTGCAGTATTGCGGGCACTTTTGAATCCGAGCCAATAGGTGACTAAACTGATCACATCACATGAAAGAAGCAGCAATGCAATTGGCAGAACCCTAAAGCGGCGTAAGCAAATTTGGCTAGCTAGAATATATTGGATGTCACAGCGAAGGCAAGGTACTTCTTCTTACAGACTATATCTATGACAGAGGTAGTAGATCCTTTAGCGGCCATCGCATGGGTGAGAAAGCCCTATGATCTGCCTTGGCGAGGACGTATAATCCCGGTACTACATACTCCATCTTGTAATCTGACAACACGTTCACTCTAAAATCCCTCACTTTGAAATCTCACTTTCAAATCTCACTCTGAAATCTACCGATCTCATATACATACTGATTACTACCATTTCACCTAATCTCGGCTGCGCGGTAGCTGAGAAGGATGAAATGTCATGGATCCCTTCACTGCCATCGGCCTGGCTGGCAACATTCTGACTTTCATTGATATCGGATTCAGATTGCTAAACCAAACTAAGGGAATCTACGACTCCAAGTCCAATAAAATGATAGCCTCAGCGTCATGACGACGCGATTCACCACGACCATTGCCGACATGCAAAGCAAGATACCAAGCGGAAATCTGAGCAAGGATGAAATAGCTTTGAAAGAGCTTGTTAAAGAATGCAGCAGCATCTCAGACGAGCTTCAGAACCTGCTTGCAGAGCTGAAGGCCAAGAAGCCGAATTCAGTACGCAGCAGCATGAAAGCAGCACTCCGCGACCGGAGCAAGAAGAAAGAGAAAGACGATCTTCACAAGAGGCTTGAAAGTTCCCGCCAGCAACTTGACTTGCTGCTCTCAACAATGACACAGTATGAGGAATACTTGGGAGAACAGTCCCATGCTACATTCTTTTGACTAACCCTTGAATGCAGGAATCTCTAGAGCGCCTCAACCAGTTGCTAACATATGGCCAGTCTAACGAAGCTGAGATCACGTCTCTTCGCCGGAACATAGATGCCCTTCGCTCTGGGCTACAGGTCAAGTTCCTCAGCCTCGACGCCCTGGAGCAGATTCGGGAGGTGTTCAGTTTGTCAGACCGTGCGACGTTGAAGGTGCGGGGAAGTTGCATCCTTAGTGCCTTACGGTTCGATTCGATGGATGAGAGATACGATGATGTGGCCAAGGCCCACGATAAGACATTCGAGTGGATATTCGACTCATCCAATAGTGACGACGATAGTGACGACCCTGAGGACAATGGTCGTTCGTTTTACAGCCATCACACCACATCTTACAAACCAATGCAAAAGTACGGAGCTCGTGACAACTTCGTTGACTGGATCGAACACGGCAGCGGCATCTCCCATATCTTTGGAAAGCCAGGCTCAGGAAAGTCGACCTTGATGAAATATTTGTGTAAGCAGGGGGAAACCAAGCAGTATCTCGATATCTGTGCTGCAGACAAGTCGCTTGTATTTGGTAAATTCTTCTTTTGGAATCCCGGCACAACTCTACAGAAGAGCCTGAGGGGTTTGATTCGTGGCCTTCTCTATTCAACTCTCTCCAATGCTCAAGAGCTCATCCCTCTCGCGTTTCCAAGGCATTGGGATGCCACTCTTAGTAATGTCGCAGTCACGTTTGATTCCTCGGATGATATCATCCTCGCCTTTACAGATCTCATTGGCCGCGACGAGGTGTATCGCAACCGCAAGCTTGTCTTCTTCATTGACGGCTTGGATGAGTTTCACGGGCACCATGCATCACTAATAAAGGAACTGCTGCGATGGACTTTAGCACGACCTACAGATGTGAAGACGTGCGTCTCGAGCCGAGAATGGCCCATTTTTGAAGAAGCATTCAAGAGTTTCCCAAATTTCCGCTTGCACGAGCTGACGCGATCTGACGTGTCACGAATTGTGCGAGGCAGGCTGAAAAACAACGACACCTACCAGAAATTGGCAGCTCCTGATAAATTAGCACGCTTTGAGTCTAATCTTGTTGATAGATCGGACGGCATATTTTTGTGGCTCAAGCTGATCTTGCAAGACATTGAGGACGGGCTCCTGAGTGGAGATAGACTGTCGCAGTTGCAAAACAAGGTCAAAGCGCTTCTAACTGAGTTGAATGACCTATTCCAGCACCTTCTTAACTCTGTTCATCCGTATGATCGAAAGGAGGCATACATGATCTTGTCAGTCGCGCTTGAGTGCCCTCCCGCTTGGCCCATCTTCCGCATCTCCTTTTTGGAAGAGTACATCGAGAATCATGATTTTGCTCTCAGTCAAAGATTTGAGCAGCTCAAAGAAGACCAGATAGTGGACCGGTTGGAGCGAGCCCGGAAGAAGATCTACGGTAAATGCAAAGGGCTGCTCGAGATACAGTTAGTGACGTATCCCAAATATTCGCTGCCGGTCGACCAAACCCTGAGAGATTCTGTTAAATTCACGCACAAATTTATTGAATATCTCGAAAGCGACCAGACTAAGCGAGAATTTGCTACTGAGTTAAAAGGCCTCGATATTTTAGATGCCCTTTGTCACACGTTCCTGGCGCATATCCAAGCTGCCACCATGGACGAGCACTATTATCAAGATCGTCACGGGGCTTCTAATTTAGACAATGATTTGGCCTTCCCCTGGGGTGATCTAATCTACGTGCTTCCTCCTCCAAGCCTAGATTATGATATATGCACTCTCTTAGGAGCATATGCTGCAAAGAACGACGCCGCAGACTCTTCGAGATTCACAGAATTTTTAGATAACGTAGTCGAGGTAGCCGAGGACCTATTCTCCACCCCAGCGCAATTTCAGTTTATCGACATCAACTGGATAAGGGGTGATTTGATCCACCACACGATACAAGCCAGCTTTGCGTGTAAGATGGGCCTCTTTAGTGCTTCGTACGGCATAACCGACTATGCTCTTCAGGAACACTCAATTGACATAGACGGAGTACGAAAACATATTACACTGCCCCTGCTGGTACAGACTGTATGTCAGGGTGCACTATCGAGCCATGCAGAACGAAATAGTATCGCTCGAGGGCTTAAAAGGATCCTGAATGTCTAACTCGACCTCGCTTGCGATCCTAATGGACCTTTAGCAGCGGAGAGCACGTCCTGTTGGCACTATATACTCATGCGGTGTATTGTCGCCAACGACCGGGGCCCTTATGTCTCAATTATAGCCTCATTTCTTCTCCCCGGAGCGAATCCAAGATTCTGGTTGAAATTTGATATAAAGCATCGGTGGAAAGACGATAACAATCCCTCAATTGTGGGAATTCCGATCGACTTCGAGAGTGGTGATGAGAAGCAACGCATTGAATACCTTGATGAGGACAGAGTCATGATGGTGGAGTTGGACTGGCGGGTTAGAATGTTTCTAAGACGGGGACAAGTGGAACTGTCCTGCAAAGACTTACTTGGTATGATGTTTCCTTAGCAGAAAAGCGACTTTGGAGAAGCTATTAACTACATTCTTTACTGGGACGAAGAGATCCTAACACCTAATCATCTACGAGAGTTCCGAGGGCGATTCCAGCCAACATTAGGTATATGGATCAATTCGGAGAGCGATAAGGAAAACTCAGGTAATAGTAAAACTGTTAAGTTTCCCACTCCCAACCTTTTAACTAAAGCCAGAGACAAACTCTATTTAATAGATAGTTAATGAAATTAATAAAATATTCTATTATATAATTAATAACTGTCTAAATATTTAATTTTTCATTTAGATATATTTATATAATATAAAACTAAAAGAGATTAATAGTAAATACTAGTATAAGTCTCGTAATGTCTTATCCCTTCTTGTAATTGTATTCTCGACCTCATCGATCTTTATTCTCCGTCCATGGCCTTTGAAGCGACTCATGATCCCCTGCTCCTGACCTTCGGTCTTCAAGAGAATACTAAGTTTATTTGTTATTTTCTTATTATCTGTAATGCCATTTGAAACCATCTATAAGTCTAATGTGGGTTTAAAAGCGTGTTTGCATGCAGTCATTGTAATATAAAGGATGTTTTCCCGGACTTGCTTGACATTCTCCCAGTAGAAGACGCCAAGGCCTAAGATTGTAGATATGCCAATAGACATAAGGACTAGATTTCTTACTGTCAGTGGGATAGTCACCTAAGGTTTAGTAAAACTGAGGACTGACAGATAATGTAGAAAGCCTAAGCTGGAGCTTGTTGAAATGAGGCAACGTCTAAAGCAAACAAGGAAGACAGGAACGATAGTGGAAGCTGATTTTAACCGTCAGTATCTTCTAAAAGCCTGCTATGTCGTTCTAAGGATGCGTCTTACGAATAGAATAGTTGCAAAAGTAAAAGTCATAACAGTTTTTCCTTCTCTAGTGGCTTCAGTTGCTTGATGATTAGTAACATCACTTTGTTGAAGTGAAAGACTTGTGTTGATCTTTTGGCCTTAGGTCAGAAACTCCAATATCATCTTGGGTAAGGATTAAAGTCTAACTTACCGCCAACTATATTCTCTTGGCGATAGAATCAAGTTCCCGCAGATCCTTGACGATATAGGTTAATGAAAACCGTGATTCTTTCACGTCCTTGCTAGCAAGTCTTCCATATACGATCTGTTGGTATTAGGCCACGGGCTTATGGATGTTGAGCTTATCGCGGACGTCTTTGATATCACAGTAGAGGTCTTTAGCTTTCTTCTCGAGGCGGCACCAAATATACTTGACTGAATCTTAATATATTAGACTATAATAGTCTCAAACCAAGGCGCCGCTGCATTACTGCTCTAGATTGTATTTTCTTAAGTAGGGAGTAGCCGACGAGCGACTCGTTATGGATCTTTAGCAGCTGGAAAATAATGCTAACTCGTCATTAAGGTAATGTTAAGGTTATATATAGCTACCAACAAGCTTATTTATAGTGTTATACTGTAATGTCTAAAGGATTGTATTAATTATAGATTTAGTAAGCACTTTAATATTTATTATTTATAAATAAATCTCTATATATATAATTAGTATATAAAAGATAGTTTATAGTATCTTAATTATATTTTAAAATATAAAGATATTATTAATACTTTTCTTTAATAATAAGAGATAGTAATTCTTTTTTAGATAGATATTAAGTAAACTTAAATACTTAAGAAAAATAAAAGAAAAAGCCTTAAAGGCTTTATAATAAAAGATAAAATTAAAAAAAATATATAGATTAAGTAATAAACTCTTATTAAAGATTATTTTAAAAAGTATAAAGGTATAGCTATATATTATATTTAGTATTATATTATATTAATATAAATTAAAGTAAAAAAATATTTATATATTTTTAATATTAGAAAGTCTTTTAATAAATTAAAAACTAAATTTAATTAAAAATTAATAAAGGCTATTTAGGCTAACTTTTATATTATACTATTATAATAGTTATAGTTGTAAATAGAGAAACTAATCTATATTAGGTTTATATTTATAGAAATATAAGGCATATATATTAAACTTAGCTAAAATATTATATTTCTTAATAATTAAGTAATATATATTAGGCTTATTAATATAAAGAAGTCTTATTAATAGCTAGTAAGCTAAATTCTATTAAATTATTAAATAAATATATATATATATTATAAGGGCTTACAGTTAAGTAAATCAGGGTTGCAGTAAGTCTATAAGTTAAATTATAAGCCTATTATAAGTTAGTAAGTAGCTTATAGTAAGTCTTTATTAATATAATATAAGTTATTCTATAATTAATAAAAATTAATAGGACATATATAATATAAGCGCTATATCCTATTTAGTTATAATATAATTTCTTCCCTTCTTTTAGTTTTATCTTTAAGACCTATTTATTTATATTTCCTTTTATATAATCTTAATATATTTTAATTTATTTTTATAATATTCTTTTTATTTTTTAATATTATATTAAAATTTAAGGCTACTTATAACTATTATATATAAGCTATTTTAATTAAAAATACTAGTTTCTTTATTATATTATATAGTTATTATACTTCTTAAAAGTTAAAGTATTAGGCCCTTTCTGGCTATAAGTACTATTTTTAATATACTTATTGCAGTTAAAAATGCAATAATAAGGGTATTACTAATCTAAAAGGTTTATTAAAGTTATTTTTTAGCTTATTTAAGTATTTTACTAATTTTATATAATAGATTATTTTATAATTAAAAAATATTAGCTTAAATATAAAAAAGAGGTTATTAAAAATAAATTATTATAGTTATAGTAATAAATTAATAAATATTTAAGTTACTTAATACATCTTTATTATTAAAAAAAGATAATTAAATAAGTATAGTTTTAAGATATTTTATTAAAATATTAAGACTTTTAATAAGTTAAAGTTAATTAAAAATATAAAATCTTTTACTATAATAAAGGCTTAGCTAGCTAGGGCTATAGATATTATTAATTAAAGTAAGGTTTTTTCTTTTAATTTAATTAATAAAACTTCTTTAAAAATTACTAAATATTAATAATATTACAACCCAACACAGTCTTACACACATATACATACACCCCACTATTTTTTACCTAACTAAAAGCTACCTACCCTATACCAATTAAATGCATACTATTTAACTTATATAACAAACAGTTACAAATAGAATCAAACTGACCTTATTTAACTTATATATATTACAGTATATATATATATCTATTTAGTATTAAATAAAACTTAACTTACTAATTATTAATAAAACTTCTTTATATTAATAAGCCTAATATATATTATTTAATTATTAAGAGATATAATATCTAGCTAAGCTTAATATATATGCCCTATATTTCTATAAATATAAACCTAATATAGATTAATTTCTCTATTTAAAACCCTAACTATTATATATTAATAGCTCTTATTTAACATATACTATATATATATTAAGTAATATTATACTATTAAGATATCTAATAATACTAGCATCTTAATACCTCTTTATACTAAAATACTACCTAATAATATAAAAATAGCAGCTAAAGTCTAATAGCTTTATAATACTATCTATACCTTATAGGCTTAAATAAATATATAACTAACTACAACTAATAAAAGAGGTAACTATAAATACTATAAAAAGGACACTAAAGAAGCACTTAAGCCACTAAAGCTAAAACCTTTTAAAGGACAGATAAGTAATATAATTCTATTTTTTATCTAAATAAAAGGTTATTTTTAACTATTTCCTAATAAGCTAAATAGCCCTATTAAAAAGCTATTATTTACTATATTATTAATCTAGAAAGATACTAAAGACTGGTTTAAACTAATTATAAGGGACTATCTTAAGAATAAAGAGAACCTCTAAAATTAAGATACCTAAAATATCTTTAAAAATTAAGAGAATTTTAAATAAGTATTAAAAAATAAGTTTAAAGTAATTAATAAAAAATGACAGGCAGCAGCTAAACTACTTACACTTAAGCAGTATAAGTCTTATATAGCCTATTTAGTTAAGTTTTAATAGCTAGCCGCTAAAACCTAATAAAATAATAACTTACTTATAGAAATCTACTATTAAAGCCTAAAGAAAGAAGTTAAAAATAAACTATATCTAGCTAATAGGCCTAAAGACTTAACTATATATATTACTATAGTAATTAAAATTAATAAATAATAGTATAAATATAAAAAAGAGAGAGTAAACTATAAAAAAGGGAATAACTTTAATCTCTATTACTTTAATTAATAATAAAATAATAATAACTAAAATAACTCTTAAAACCAATAATAATAATAAGAAAGTAATTAAAATAACACCTTATATAGATTATATAAAGGACTAATAATTCTAAAAGTTACCTAACTAAATAATAGAAATTATAAACTATATAATATATTTAAATATAAATACTATAACTATAACCAGTTTAGATATATAATATATTAATACCTATAACCTAAAAAACTATAAGACCCTAACTATAGTAAGTAAACTTTAAGACTAACCTAATAGTATAAACCCTAAATAGTTATATAGACTTAAACCCTAAAAATAACATAAAGTAAATATAATAGACAGTTTAATAGAGATTTAAATATTACCTAAATTAAGCTAGAAGACT